CCTAATAAAAAGGCAAATTTTTATTTATAGGTTCCCTAATAAAACCTCCACAAGTGTGGGAATAGATCACCTGGCTACCCAGTCCATGTAGCTCATGCCACTGCAAGGAGCTGCTTCTCTTGATGAACAACAACTTTCACAATCATCTTGAATTCACAGTCATTAGAGGATTATGTTAATTTTTATGTTGGTTGATGGCATTTAGCTAGAGAAGAGTCCTGCAAGTTGTCTTCTCAGTTATGTAATGAAGCTTCTGCATTACTTATCTGAGTGTCATTAATTATGTTTCAGCTCAGGAAGCTGCCTAGATGTCACTTGTTAAAGGGAACAAGTAGAACTGAAAGCTGAGGGGAAAAAAAGAAAAACAATCCAAAGGTCAATCCGGGAAGGAAAAGAAAAGCCAGTGATCAGGACACATCGTGGAGTTACTCAGACTGTTCAGATACAGCAGTAGGTGAAGATCCTGATAGGAAAACTGTATTGTGATGGCACTGTCACAAAGTTTAGGTTTAGTTAGTAGCCTACAGCTTCATGCAGTGAAACTAATCACATTTCTGACTAAGGAAATGTACAGAGAACATTCTGTTAGTAAGGAATTTGACTTACTCAGTGAAAAAAACCCAACCAAACCAACCAACCAACCAACCAACCAAAAAAACCTCACAAAACAAACAAACAAAAAAATAGAGATTTTTTTAAGACATTAGGATTGATGTGAGGACCTTCAGTCAAATAAGTTACATGAAGGCAGAGGTTGTGTCACTGCTAAAATGAGGTCAGATTGTATGAGGATCAAAGAGGGGAAAAGGACATTTAAAAAGACTCTTAGAAGAACTTGCTTGAACTGAGAGACAAAACAAAGGCCAGCTGGCTTTCAGGACAGCAGAATGGATCACAGCTTGAGGTGGATGCTACAGACCATAGTAAAAAAGCCCCATAAACCTGCAGGAATTTTTAACAGAAAAGCAAACTGGAAGATGCAAGGGTCTATCTGCAAAATACAGTCAGAAAGAGCCTGCAAGAAGCAAGAATGAAAGGGTGCACAAATTGTTTAAGCAGAGACCAATGTGACTTCCAACACCTCCTTTGGACTTAGTAAATAGAAAACTATATTGAAAATAAAATATAGTTAAGGAGACCAAAGCTGAAGATATAGACCAAGAAAAATTATTTACAGAACACACACTGAAATAAAACTTCTCCTTGGGAGTGAGTAAAGACAAAGCTTCCTCCAGTGGTGGGGATATCATGTGTAGACATTTCCCAAGTATTTCTAGGCTGAGCACTGGCACACCAATTAATGGGCCCTCTGACATTGCTGGAAACCATCTGGAAGGGAAATCTAAGCTTATTAAGAACAGATGGATAAGAACCAGGTCAGCCTTCCCTATTGCTCCTATTTGTAAGCTAGATGTAAAAGTAACCTTGTAAAGATAGTTTGAGTTGCTCTGGGAAATCATGCCTAGGATTCAACAGGCACTGAAAAAGAACAGGAACAACCAGAAAAAGCTGTTGCCTGAGGCCTGTCTCCTACAGGCCCCTAACTAAAAACTCCTGGCCTTCCCCAAACCTTCAGTCCCCATCATTACCACAGTGATCCGGGTTCATTATTCCCTCAATCTACAAACAGCCTTGTTAAATAATGCAGTTGTTGAGTATGTCATGCCAAGAACAATATCTGTGTTTTCTTCACCTGGCACCCATACAGTGGTCATGCCAGGTTATAGGGCTCAGGTTGACTTTTAACAGTTTGAATGTTTTGGAAAATAATATGTCATTCAGCATGTTCAATCAAGCATTAGGTTTCTGCAGTTTAATCATCCTCTAATAAATTCTGTCAAAATTGTTAAAAAGGTTTCTTAAAAAATGCTGAGAAGTCAAACTCGGCACCACTAAGTGAAAAGAAAGCCTGAAAACTTGCTGAGGTGTTATTTAATAGAAAGCCTAGACCAGTTGCATGAATATGTAACCAGCTGTGTTAAAGCTAGGTATTCTGTGAAGGCCTAAGAGAACCACAATAAAATCAATTAGATACACATTATGACGAAAAGATCACTTGAGCTAACATCCTTGCAGATAAGAGACAAAGACAGTACATTTGAACACTTAGAAAAACTACATTATTTATATGAGTACAAAATGCATCCATTGATCCTTCTGAATTGTTGCTGGTTCCTGAAAAGCAATTGCTAAAGAAATTACTGGAGAAGCTGCTGATGCCTACAGCAGCCTGTCCAGGAGATGACAAAGAGAGGTTGCTGCTGCAGAACAAGCCCACTCCTGTGTCACCTGCCCTTCCTGTGTTAGTCTGGCTGACACAGGAAGAAACAAATCCCTCAGAAATCAGTTTGGCTACTCACAGTGTTCCTCACGCCAGACTTTTTCCATCACCACCTTGGTGACTGCGAAACTGTCAGTCACATGCATGAGTCAGAAAAAATTTAACCCTTTCTCAACAGATTTTTTTTTTTCCCCCAGGGAAAAAAATGTGAATTAAAATGATCCATGCTTGGTGCCTGCCAACTAGCACACAATTTGCTGATGGTTTGCAAGCATTTCTCATCTAATAGGGTGCTGAGGAATGCTTCTGCTCAGTACTTTGAGGGCAGCCAGAGGTTCAGGTTGAGAAGAAGATTTAGCAAATTTATGATAATGAACAAAAGTCTCATGAAGAAGTATGCAAAGATTAAGTTGCTTTTCACTTTTACTAGAAGCTTCTGCTCTCAGTGCCTTGCCGGCTGAAATATTCTCGAGTCTTTTAGCTTTATATTCCCAGACCTGCTTGGGCTAGAGGTTCAGGATCATCTTATGCCAGTTAAAAATCATGCTGCAGCCTGCTCAGCTCCTTGTTGGTGTCAACACAAGCAGAACTGGAAACTGCTCATGCTGAAATCCATATTTCGGGTTTGGGTTTTGTGTAGGTCAGTTTTCAATCCCTGCATGCCCTGCATCTGCTCCCCTCCATCTAGCAGGGGCATGAGGGAAGCAGCAGCAGCACCCACGTGGAGGCAGGACTGCTCCTTTTGGCCAGTGGCACAAAGGGAGAGCTGCAGAGGGTGACCCTGAAAGAGTGTGGGCTCCTCCAGGGGCTTCCCTGTCAGATCCAGTACTGCAGCACCTGCAGAGCCCACAGCAGTGCCAGAGCACTGCACACTCTTACAGCTGCTCACACCAGACCCTGCCTGATCTTCTCAATATAACACCTAGCACCTAATTCTGGAGGCAGCTGGAGGCTGTGAGAAACTCTCCCTGCAGTCAGAAATCGTTTTGACTTACTGGAAAATCTCATTTTCTTCCAAACTGTGCATGTTTGCACATGTCCTCTGTTCTGTGCTTGGTTTCTGGTTTTTCAGATCAACAGCATCCCCTTTTCCTGTGGCTGGCCTACTTCTAAGCAGGCTGTTTCTTACCTTCTCCTGCCCCTGATGAATTTGACAATCATACTCTGAAGCCCACCTTGCTGGAAACAACTTTCTCCCACCTGATGGGTGGTTTTTTCTGTCATGGAGGAGAAGAATGGGGGAAGATGATTTGTACATGGGCATCATTCCACAGTGTACTTTGTATAATAGCAAAACTCTTGCCAAATCCTCCATCTCTCAGCCCCTGTCCTGCCCAAAGGCTGCACATCCAAGCCCCCTTAAGCTGATGAAGCCATGGAGGAAATCTGTGTAATGTTGCAAAGACCAATGCAGGCTGACAGCTGAAAATGGTCCCTGTTCAGTCCCTTCCCATCCACTTTAATTGACTTTCATTTTTATTTCATGATAGTGTGGAAAGTTCTCTGCTCACCTGTGACTGACAAGACTAGATCACTAACTTGCAAAAGAACAACTTTGAGGTTTCTGCAAAAGCAGTGAGACATGGAATTGCATGAATCAGTGTAGCTTAGGGACTTATTGCAGTCAGCTGTCTTTCCAAATTTTCTAAAGGCACTGATTGTGCCTGATGATGGCAGCTTTAGGAAAGCTGATGAGATCCTACACACAGCCGTCCTCTTCATTCCTCCCAGCTATGGCAATCACAAGTTAACCACTTGTGACTCCTCTGCTGAATTACAATTTATACATCACGACTGTTTTAAAATAAACCATTCATTTTTTTCCCATGTTATCAGTCATCCCAAATGCTATCCCATTATCCACCAAGTCTCATAATTCAAGCTTTCCCCACCATCCATCCTAGCTGGAGTACACACCAGTGGGGCACTTCTCTATCATCAGAAGTGCCAGGCAGAGGCAGGGTAATCCAAAACAGGCACCACCAGTGTCAGCCTGCAGGGTGGGAAGGAGCTGGCCGTGCCAGCAGCCAGCCCTCACCAAGCCCCTGTGTCTCACCACTCACTGCTGCAGGAACTGGCTCCACAGCCCTGCTGGGACACTGCTCTGTGCCATTATTCAGCTCACCATGGACTTCTCACTGCTGGTGTCATGGCATGGTGGGGATCTAACTTCAGCAGCTGCCATATCCCTGCTTTTCTTGACCTAAATCCAGTGGGGACAGAGGAAGGACAGGGTGTTACAGAGACATGCAGACTTCACACAGAAGAACCAGGTAAGAAGAGTTCTCAGCAATGTGGCCAGGAAACAAAGGAAAGTTCTTTGCTAGCATTAATTACAAAGCCTTCGGGATGCAGGAGCTTCCTGACACTTACTTGAAAGACAGGCCATGATTCCTCTCTTGACCACCATGATGTAGGTACTTCCACTTTTCCTGCCCTTTGGCATATCAGCACCATCACAGGCAGGAATCAACCCTAGGTGACTGTATCAGTGGATCGAGGTCATTTTAACTCAGCAGGTGTCACAGCATCATGGTATGCAAGACAGGTACATTCCCATTCCAAGCTAGAGATATGGTGAACTCTAAAGTTTAGCACTGCCTCTGGGGAAAGAATAGCCCCTAACAAAAAACTATACCCCCCAAAACCATCAGGAAATTGATACTGGTTTACTGCATTACAAAAGTATTCTAAAGCTACAACTAAACCCGAACAAACATTTAAAAAGACACACTGAAGAGTAATTTATTCAGTGTGAATTCAAAAGACATTCCACCATTCATTACAGGACCACACAGCTGGTCTCAACGCTGTACTCCAAGATATAGGCAGGATAAATTTGTTGCTTCTCGAAGATGACAAAGATGGAAGGGTCTGTCGGGTCATTCACGCAGCTGTCATACAGTCTGTTGGAATTTCCAGCTCTGGCTGGAGGGCGACAGTACTCAGGGCTGCCCTGCACAAAGTCTCCAACAAGAACCTGAGCTACGAACATGCTGTAGCGCCCGCTGCGAGGGGAACAGTACTCATGGGAATAGCTGGCATCTCTGGCAAAGTAGCTTCCTAGGGAGCAGAAAAAGCCACAGGTCAGACAATACACCAGCCAAGGGACAAACACGAGCTAGCAGCACTTTGGCAGCCAGCAATCCAACAATCCCAGCTAGCCCTACAATGTGTGGGAACGTTCTTGGCAGGTGTTGCCACACTGGCTTATTGTAGTGACAAACTGTAGTGCAAATTTCACCATCAGCCTCCCAGTCTCACCTGTCCCAAGAGCATTTACCTGAGGCAAAGAGAAGAGTTTTTAACCCTTCCTGGAATGGAATTGCTGTGGGTGCTACCTGAAGCAATGCAGATGTAGAGGTGAGAGTGCCCTAAAGGCAGGTGTACATGGCGCAGGAACCATCAGTCGCTCTGCACCCACATCCCCCAGCCTGGCTGGGATCTGCAGTCCCTGTTGCTACAGCCTCTATGCCCTTCTGCACTTGTACCTTTTCCATACAGTGTCCCGTGGGTCCCACAGAGTCTCCAGTCAAAGTTCTGCTCACAGATGGCAGACACATGGGAGGGATTTGTGCCATGGAATAGGAGTCTCTCATCCACCCCTTTCAATTGATGGATCTTCTTCATCTTTTCTTTTTGCCTAGAGATCAAAAAAAAAAAAAAAAAAAACCAAAAAAAAGAACAACTTGTTATCCTGGTTCAAACAAGGAAAATTTCCCAGCTTAACTCCTCCTACCTCTGGGTCATGGAGGAACAGTGACACAAACCACTCTCAGTGGGGTTACTGTCTGCTTTGCACTTCTGTTGGTACCCTGCTGCACCAGCTGGCTCCTGCCAGCAAAACAAAAAGTTCTCAGCATCACTATGGACTGTGTCACCCACAACTTCATACCACATGAGAGAGTAAAGAGACAAACATCTCTTGTCTGGGAATTGGTCAGTTCCCATGTTATATAAATCCTGAATACATAAATATGATTATAAAACTGAACTGTATGGAGCCACAGTGAAGATTGTATAATCCCTGCCCCTACCTTTATCACAAAACAAAGAAACTTTTTTTTTAACTCCTATGTGGAAGAGGCTAAAACTAAAAGAATAAACCTGAAGCACCAAAGCTCAGTTATGATGAAGGAAAATAATTTACTTTTTGGATAACACTAGCAACAATCATACAAACATCTTTATCTTAGGGATCTTTATCTTAGGGATAAAAGGCCCACTTCTACACACAAAAAAACCCCGATGCAACCCTAACAACCCATTCACAGAGAGAGGTGCCCCAGTCCCCCTTCCAGGACTGCTCCAGAGGAGCCTCAGACTCAGGGAGCCACGTTTTGGGGCAGTCATAAGTCTGGGCCACCAGCCACACCTGGGCAGAGAGATATGTGCAGCCTCACCTCAGCTGACTGCTGAATTTGGCAGCTCCAAATGTAGACCATGGAGGACAATAGATCAGGAGATACCAGTCATCTCATACATAAGGATAATGAAATAAAATAGATACAAACCACTGAAAAAGGTCCCAAAGTGTTGGATTCTGGATCCTCTGCAGTTGGTCAATGCAGTAATTTTTCATTGTCTTCTCAAACAGCATCTTGATTTTTCTGTATTCTTGGGAATCATAGCTGAGCTGTATCAACTGAAAATTTTTAAAGCACTAAAAATACTGAAAGTAACAACTCCCAGTCCTTCCAAAGGACTCATCAACCTTCTTACAGCTGCTGAAAAGCTCTGCCACAAAAATCACAAGCTGCTTCTGTTTTTCCTGTTAACCCTCCTTTAGCATCACTCTCCATGTGGAAGCACAGGCACTGACTGAGGGAAATCAGTGTAATCCCATGTGAGCTTCCTTTAGAGGATGCACCTCCACATCTGGACTATTTTTAGTTCAGAGTAGCCTAAAGCTGAAATGCACAGCAGTATTCAGGCTGAAGCAGAGTAAAAGTTTCACCTTAATTTGACATTCTAGCTCCTTCCCTACAGAGCTCAGCTGCAGTTTTACCACAGCAAATAACATTCTGCCCCAAACTGACAGAGGAAATAGCCCCTTGAGATGCAATTAATCTGGTTTATCAGAGGATGAAGTGACTTGGGAGAGTGCAAAGGACAGGTATGAGCAGCAATGGCCTTTCTTACCCTGTGTGGTATCATAGGGGTTTTCAGAGAGCCTCCCAGGAAATGCATGTCTGTTCTGAATATGAAACTGTCAGTTTTGTTTCACATCATAGCTGCTTATTTTACAAGACACATTTAAAAGTTGGTAACATCTCAATTGCCTTGAATTATGCTCTTGGAAAAATCAGTACAGGACAGAGCTCTACCCACCCACTGGAGAGCTGGAAAGTCCTACCTTGAACCCAATTTCAGGTAGTGCAGTTTGGTCCCAATGCGGAGGATACACAGGATGTGATAGAGTTGTGTTTTGGCTACAAAACAGAAAAAGGAACCCGTCAGCTGGTGATACTCCTAACCAAATCCCCCTTCTGGAGGGATGAGCTCTTTTAGAGCCATGAGCTCTAAAGCAGCCTTCAGGCATCTATTCACTAGCTATAGTTTGTTTCCTATTTAAATGAACACACCTTAGGTTGAACCAACACTTTAATTGAACCCTCAGCTTCACATGCACTGTATACTGGTGAGTTTCTAAAGCACAGACAGCTCTTATTAAAATAAATCAGTAGCACAAATAACATTTAGAGCAGATGTGTTCAAATTCTGTTAAGCTGAACTTCTTTCAGAAAAAGCCATAAGATAGGTATCTCAAATAAGTGCCTCTAATTCACTTCATTTCAGTGGATTTGCCTGTTCTGAGTTTTAGTTTATCCTCAGCTTTCCAAGGGATGACATCCATATGGACCACAGCTCTTGGGATTGGCAGTCCCTCACTCTTAATCACTGCACAGTTTATTTATTAGTGTTGGGGCATAAATCAAGGCATAAATATTCCTGACACAGTTGTGTCAGCCCTATGTGGCCTTGGCTCTCACAGAGAGAACAGATCTACTCTAGTGGTCTCTCACAGCTGCCAGAGACTGCCACCAAACGTCCCTCCAGGGAGCTCTACATAAGCGTTGCATAATTTACAAAGACTGTCACTGCAAAATGTGCTGTTAAACCAGCCAGGAAAAGGTATCTAAATATGAATTTAAGAAATATAAAATTGCATTCCAGGCAGGTAAGAGGAACTTCTTAGCAGAAAGGTGCTTTCCTCCAGAGACACTGTTAAACAATGAATGTGTATTACCTTCTGTCTTGTCCACCTTCAGACTGTTTAGGCAGTCGAATAACAGTTCTTTGAGTTTGAAAGACCACATTTGTTTGGACCATGTCTTGAAAGAAAAACACAATAACTCAATAATGAGATAATTCATTGTCTAGGGACAGGCTCTTCCATGTTAAGTAAAAATAAAAGAGGAGGTAGCCCTGAATATTGCATTGTGGTGCTCTATCTCACCCACCCCAGTGCAAACTTCATTCCCACTTGGACATCAGCAATTCAACCACCTGCTTGCACAGGCTGTGAAACTTGAAGGCAACCAAGCTCCAACTGCACCTGCACTGCTATTCACATCCAGGCTGCTGGCCAGAGAAAACCACATCTGATGGCAGGCCTACAGCAGGAAAGAGTTTTCAGTGCAATGGGAGCCACAAACCTGGCTTTCCTGGCAGCACAGGGCTGCTGCATGGTGCTAAAAGGAAAGCCTGCCCTTTCTTCTTGGTCTTGTAACAATATCACAGAGCACATGCTGTGTGACATGGCTAATTATCCATTGTTTCCTCCTTGAAACACCACTCTTTATTCATGCCAGGAAACATTTAAAGTTTGGAAAGCTAACAGGAGTTTTAAGATGGGTAAATAAATTAGAAACAGAAAGCATTTTTCATTTTCCCATTTCTCTCTCTGTGCAACCAGCCCTAAATTTTTGTTTGCTGCACTGTGCTTTCTCTCCCCATAAGTGGCCTGCAAGATGTTCACCACAGGCTCACTTCTTCACCTTTTAACTTTTCAGTGCCTTTTTTTGAGTTTTTCTCTGATTTCTCATTCCTCCTTTTCAGGTGTATAAACACAAATGTATAAGCCAATTTGCCATGAAGCATTTACTCTCAACTCTTCTGAATGTACAATATTGTCAGGTATGTTTTGTTTACAGATGCCCAAGTGTAGAAACTCATGTGGGGCATCTCAAAACTGCAGAGAAATTTACCTACTGCTCAAGTTCTGCTTGGAGAAAATTTGCAGGAGGAAGAAGAGCTGTTCAAAGAGAGGCAGACATGGTGTGAAAACCTTCAAGCCAGCTGCACCGTAATGAACTTAAAATACTTAAGATACTTCACCTGCAAAGTCTAACTTATACTGCTGAGAACCAGCCCTGAAAAAAATAACACCATTCTTGTCAGCTTGATATTCACGCTCCAGAAATGCCGATGTTACAGTGGCAGTGGCGTGACCTGGGTGCTGCAGAAAGAACAAGGAAATGCTAAATGTTAAAACCACCCTTTTGTTTCGGTGTCACCTAAAATGGGTGGGGAAATAATGTTTCCCCAGGCCCCTATGACAGGATGATGTTTTGAAGTAAGCCTCTACAGCTTCAAGCACTTTGTTCTACAGCGATGGAGGGGGTGCCCCACCGAGCACAGCTGCTTCTAACAACAGCAACAAAGCAGCCTTCAGCCTGTGTGGTCAGCTCCAGCCAAATGATGTTTGTCAACTCTGGAAAATGCACCCCCTTTCAAAGCCAGTCCCTTGAAAGATTTCACAGAGTTCCAGTCCTGCTTTGAGGGACAATTAAGAAGACAATTCCAGCCAGGAATTGGAGCAGCACCGCAAGGGCACCCAGCGGTGCGTGTAGAACACAGCAGCTGCAGAACAACATGCTCTAAATAACTCTGCAAAGATGGCTTAACAAAAGCTTTTGGCATGAACAGCAGATGAGCTTCACCTCTTTCCCATACTCAATCCACTGCTTGGAATCATCGAGCCAATACCAGACATACTCCATTTCAGAAGTAGACAGATGAATCAGGAGACAACACAAGTGCAGATGAGCTGATGGGCACCAGCTGCTTGCTCTGCCCTGCATTGGAAAAGAAATCCAGATCAAAGCACGGCTCTTTTCCAAAGCTGTCAAACTGTGCAGCATCCCTGGTCTGATCAGAAATCTATTCACTTCTCAAAAAAGGAGACCCCCTCCAGCTGGGAAGTGCAGGTTTGCCCCAGAACTGAGGAACTGGTGTTTGGATGTTTATGGGGCATAGTAAACACCACAGAAATGACCCTGATCTCTCTGGCTTCGACCTGTGACATTGATTTTTCCCTAAAATGAATCTTCCTAAAAAGCACATTTTAAGAAAATACACTTGACACAGAGATTCCCCTGCAGCCCATAGAGAAGGCTATGGTGAGACAGCTGTGCTCCTGCATCCTGTGGAGTTCCATGGAGCAGGGATCCACATTGCAGCCCATGGAGAAGCCCATGCTGGTGGACAGGCCCTGAGGGAAGCTGCAGTCCATGGAGAAGAACCCATGCTAGAGCACTTTAATCCTGAAGGACTGCAGCCCATGGGAAATGAACCATGATGAAGCATGGGAAATTTTTGAGAATGATGGAGGAGTAGATGGCAAGCCTTGCAGACTGAGGACAACACCCATCTCCCTTCTTCTCTGCACTGCTTTGATGGGAGGGGGTAGAAAAGTCAGGGATGAAAGAGTGAAGTTGAACCTGGGAATCCCTGGAGGAGAGGAATAGGTGATCTAATTTCCTTTTCTCACAATTTAAATCTATTTTAATTTGCAATCAATTAACTTCCCCCACATCAAGTCTGTCTGGCCCAATGTTCACCTTGGCTTTATCTCAGCTCATGAACTTTCCCATTATTTTTTCCCTGCTGTCCTGTTGAGGATAGGGAGTGAGAGTGCACCTCTCACTTGGAGGAGGGGATATCATTACTTACCAGAAAAGTCTCTGCTCTGCACTCTATCCCAGACACAGCACCTACAAAGAGAAGATGCAACAGGTAGCCATTAATGATTCCAACTCACAGGATTTTACTTTGCTTCCTGCTGTGCTTCATCCTCCATTTAATCTCCCAGTTTTGGAACCAGCAACACTTTTTAAACATATCTCACCACCTTACTGCCCCTACAGCACTGCCCATCATGGATCACATATCCAAAGCCAAAAGCTGCCAGCCCTTAAGCTTCCAAGGGTCTGTGACAGAGCTACTCTGAGCTGCCTGAAGAATCTGAACACGATATTGAAACAGAAACTGGAAATGATCATGTATCCAGCTCTGACGCCCTTCGTACTTTGGCAGGGACCTAGGGTATTCAGAGAAGCCCAGTGAGAGGAAATCATTCCAGGAGCAGCTCCCTCAACAGAGCTGTTTACAGTGCAAAGGTCCACAAAACAAAGGCGTGGCAGCCCTGGACTGCCAGAACAAAGAATGAGGAAGAACTCGGCTCTCCTTCATAGATAGACTTTGTTCCAGTGCTGCCTGTGTACACACTAACACTGGCCAGCCTGGTCCTAGAAAAATGCTCCCAATTATTCTTCTCTCCCATTGCAGGGCATTCAAGAGATCCAGCACTACCAGGAGAACTTTCGGACATGGCTGTCCCTTTTTTCTCCCTCTGCACAACACCATGATGCTGCTGCTGGCATGGCTGAAGAATTTGAAGTTTGTGGATTTGAAAGGTGGGATTTAAGGGAGGAGGTGGGGAGAGGGGAAATGGAAAGGAAAGCAGGGACGTGAGGCCGGATGATGTTTCCAGGCAGCTTTTTTCCACTGCTGCCCCCCTCTGTCTTCCCTCTATCCCCAGTCCAGATAACCCCTGATAAACCCTGCCAGCTCCCCTGCTGGGATTCGGGGCTCCAAGCCTGCCCTAATCACATGAGCTTGCAAAACTGTCCACTTGTGACCTACTTTCCTTTCCACTTTCCAGCATTTCTGCTCCATGCTGGGATTCTCCACTCACCAACTAACCCCAGCTAGAAATAAACAGAGGTGAAACTCTTAAAAAGCAGACAGAAATATTTCACCAGCAAGGTAGTGTCCTTCACATTTTGCTGAAGATCTCACTACATGGTCCTGTGCAATTGTACATTTGCTTTTTATATCTTAATAGGAATAACTTTATACAGAGAAAATTTTATACTGAAGTAGCACCCTTTTCCCTTACAAAAGAAGAACTGAAGAATGATACAAACACAACTTACAGTATGACAAAGTGCAAGCAGGGATGCCTCCAGCAGACCTTAAAGCCAAGCCCACAAGCTATAAAATCCTGAACTTCCTGTGTGCCCAACCCTCCCCTCTCAGCTGCACCCTGGGAAGGCTGTCAGAGCCTGGCATGTGCCACTTCTCTGGCACAGTCACCACCCTCGGGAGCTGAAGGCACCAGCCTTGTGCTTGCCACGCTGATGAGCCCGCTCAACCCTTGCTCTGCATGACAAAGGTGCCCCGGGTGCAGCAACACCTTCCAAAGTAAACCACAGCTGGCCTGTGAGAGCTCCCTGTGAACTCCCCAGAGCACATTTGTACCTTGCTGTCTCCCTCGCAGCCTCTCCGTAGGATCACGGGTGCCTGTCTGCCACAGACCCTTGAGGAAGTGGGGCTGAGTGACATTTCCTTCTGCTTATTGCGACAGACAGACGCATGCGCGTCTGCCAAGCACGAGCAGGCCGGCCAGGCACAGCCCAGGGCTTTGGCAGATACAGCTGTAAAATCAACGTCACTGAACCAGCAGAGTTTATCTCTGCTTCTGGGTTCCTGTCCTGCACTCACCTAAAGCTAGTTCCTCCCAGCCTTCCAATGGCTGGGGGTGTTCAGGGTCTTCTCTGTTCTATACGGAGCAGCCTCTGCTGAACATCATTGCTGGAAATCCAACAGCTGGCGTTGTCTTGCAAAGAGACTCCCCAAATCTCAGTGCATTTTCATCCTGCTCTCCCCAGGGTTAGTGATGGCACTGGTGGGGGGATTGCAGCAAGCAGAGCCACACAGACCTGTGTGTGCCGAGATGGGCTCGCTCGGCCCTCGGAGCTCTGCACCATCCCAGGTGTTTGTGTTCCTGTACCTTGGAGTCTGATCCTCCTCTCTGCTCTTCCCCACACAAATCAGACAAGGCTTAGGAGTTTTCCAGTCTGACCTCCAGCCTTTCAGAAGCTGACAGCGCTTCTCAGCAGAGCTCTGAAGCATAAAGCTTAACAACAGCTCAAGTAGTCTTAACTATGCAAACTTGTTAATCCAAAAGCATTTCTTTGACTTTTTTTTTTCCCCTCAGATTGTGTTCAGTTGAACTGCACAGAACATTTTTCTTTCCTGGAGATCCAGTCACACCAGAGCAATAGTGGCTGAAACACAAATCTCTGAGTGTCCAGAAAGGGTGCGCTCTGAGTGCATTCTACAGACATAGCATAAAAACAAATAAACAAACAAGCAAACAAACCCAACAACAACAAAACCCCTACCACACACACATGAAAAAACAAACTAAAACAAAAAGCCAACACCACAAATGTGATTATGAACTCACTTTCTTTCACTTCCTTCACTTCTGAGGTCCTACTGAGGCCTAAGAGCTTCAGTAGACATGAGACAGCAGCTTTAGGAAGAGCATTCTGGCTTGGAAGAAAATGTTTACATATCTTTACTGGAAGCAGGACACCATCCTCTCTAAAACCAAACAACTGTCCACAAACTGGAAACTTGAGTTCACCGTAAACTGATACCTTCTGAGCATAGTATTTTTAATTTTTATCCCTTTTAATTGCAATGTCATCCGTGGAGCTGTTGAACCTCTGATTTCTCAGCGATGGTACCATATCTGTCCGCATTTCTGGGAATGGAATAGGTCTCAGAGCAGGCATCCTATATATAGCCCTGCAAGATCATATTCCTGCACAGTCAGCAGAGGCCCCCAAGTGTGGTTTCCCTGCATATGTCAAATGATTTATCCTTTATCAAGAAACCATGGTCCAGCAGATAGCGTTACTTAGTTTCCTCACAGGAATTCCTATTCTTGTTCGCTTTTTCTCTTCAGAGGAAACGGACAAAGAAGGGACATTTCACCCTTTGCCTCTGTGACACACAGGACACACAGCAGCTCTGCTGCAACTTCAGACTGCTCCAAGGATTGGTGTGGGAGTCCTGATGCTACAACACGTGCACACTGTGCTCACATGGGTATTGCAGCCTGGGACCAGGCTGGCAGTACCTCATGCTTTTACCTTAAGATGTGTAAAACCCCCCAGAGCAGTACCTAAGTGGGTGGACTCAGGAAATGTTGGGGTAATTGAGCTCACCTGGTTCTGCAAGGTCTTCTGCAGGTTGGTTCCCCAGCCACCCACACTGGGGGTGCTGTATGCCAGGGGGTTCAGCTTCAGCAAAGCCTGGCACAAGGAGGGATTGGCTCTTGTCTGGGAGCCTGGAAGCATTTTCAGATCTCACTTGAACCCATTCTATCATTTAAAGCCAATACCTTCTCCTGTAGGTTGTGATGGGTTCTGCTGTGAGGATTTTCCCAGCAAGACTGTATATCCTGTTGGACAATGTCCAGCAGCTTGTAAATTGAATTTGGGAGGGTAGTGGGGAAACAAGCCCTGCAACTACACTGCTGCTGTCCCAGCTTAATTCAGCACAGGAACAGGAAGCAGTCATTACAAGAATAATAATTCTCAATTGCTTTGAAAAAAACCCAACTGTAGTTCCAAAATTTTACACGTTTCAGTAGATTACATTGGATTTGCAATAGTACTTTTTTATTTTAAGTACATCAATGTTTGACACAAAGGATTAAAAAATGCTCCACATTCTGCTGTTCCTCTTTCCAGCAGTCATTAGAGGAGTCTCAGCACGCTGTTTCCGATCTTTTAGGAACCAGATAATGATTATGTGATTGTAAATAGCTAATTGCTGTTTTATCTGGACATAACATTGCCACATTAATAATGTAAACCAAAGTAATCCAATAATGGAAACCTTTCTTGTGCCATTAGTTCAAATGAGCATTTATGGATTAAATCAGCAAGTCATGTGCAATTGCCAAGTTAAAGCTTGGATGTGAAGTCACTCATGTCTTCTTACAGCACCAAAAGAAGCACTTATTCAGGAATGTGCCCAAGTCTCATCAGTGGTCCCGTCTAATTAAAGGAGGAATTGTATTTTACTGGAGCTAGGCCAAATTCTGAGTTTTCAACTTCACTGGTGAGGAGAAGGTCTGGGAAGTTGGGGGAGGGACCAGAATCTATTCTGTCATATTCTAGTTGATATTTAACTGATTTTTTTTTAATGCATTTGTACATTTTAAAGTGTAATTTCAGAAAAGTAAAATTCAAAGTTGAAAGATTATTTCAAAGCTAAAAAAACTCATTCTCCTTATACAAAAATCAAAGCAAAACATTCTGACTGTACTTCATTAATACTTGAATTTAAAATATCTTCTCATTAGCTCAATCTGCACTTTCTCGTAAAATTTTATCCCCCTGCATTCCCCTTTCCAGCTTATCTGCCTTATTTCTAATTTGCTCTCCCCAACCCTTCCCCTTGTCCACAACAAGGCTACTATAGTAGTTCTCTTTGAAACTTGCATTTGGCTTCCATGTATTGGATTCTAAGTTCTGCAACATGCCCACTTCCTCTACTTGCCAAGCTAGGAAAACAAAATATTGTCTCTGTACACACACACATACACACACACTCAATTTTACTCAGGACTGGGCTAGGCTGCAAAATTAGGATCTTGGTTTCAAAGACACTCAGCAGGCAAAGAAAGCTCATTTCAGAGAACTAGTTTGCTCTTCTGAAAAGAAGAAAAGGGCAGGAACAGATCCCGATTGGCAAGCTCAGGAGCACTTGCAGCAAGGTTTTGGCTCAGTCATCCTCAGTTGCACTGACTAAAAAGAATAAAACACGGCCTGCTTTTGGTAGGATCAAAAGTGTCAAAAATGGTCTAAGTAGATTTTTGTCTTCTGTGAGTCCTGATGGTATTCTCAGTAAGTCTTGATTTCTTGTTGGACAACTTCCAGCAGTAACTGTAGTTTGTGTGTAAGATAATCTGAAAGGGTGGGAAAAAAGGAAGGAAACTTAGTCCAGAGGAAATCCTGAGATACAGCTGTAAAACAGAACATCAGCACTGATAGCTGCAGCACTTTATGCTGGCAGATCACTGTATCTGTTTCCTTTCTTGCTGTATGTTTTCTTCTAATCAGTGGTTACTGATGCACCTCCATCCAATATCAAATCAAAGGAAAACAAGACTTGGAACAGAAATGACAAAATAAACTCAAACCTGGGCTCTCATTTCTGAAAAAAAACCTTGTGCCACCATGCCTACATGCAAAGGAAATCTGTACTAGACACTACATGGAGTGGAGATGTACTTCATTTCCACGGCTACATTTGTGCCCAAACCATCCTGGCCTCTTCACCAAGCTGACAGACCTCTGGCAGTACCCTTCTCCTACCAGTCCTCTCCCAAGCCTTTCAGCAAGTAAGTTTGTGCATGGGGTTACAGCATCTGCCTGTAGTCTCTCCATCCTAACTTTTCATCTTTTTGCTCCATGTCAGACAAATTTGACCCAGAGCTGGTGATCCCAAAGACAGGAAAAAGTTTAGTAGGTACCAGGGCTGGGGTGGGAAAGCAACCCTCCCTGTTCCCCCTGTTGGTAGACCTCAGCCTTGTCTTTGTTAGAACAAATTTGGCTCTGGAGGCTGTGCCTTGGGAAAGGCATCAGAGTGGTGCCAGGGGTCATGATTTAGGTTTCATGAGGTCTGTTGGTCAAGGAGCAATTTGGATCAGAGATGAGTCCAAGGAACAAACCAGCATCCCGACCCTTGAGCATGTATAGGTCCACAATACTGAAAATTAAATGCATACTTACAAAAGAGGTTGCGGCAGCGGTCTGACATCTGCCTGTGAATTATGAGGTAGTAGACTGGAAAACCACTCAAAACCATGGTGCATCCAATGCTAATGCTCACAGGGTCTGAGTAGAAAGACATTGCCACTGTGAAGAGGCAGATGATGGTAAAAGAGACAGGAACAAACAGGGGAACCTGGGGAAAAGAGCACAGAAGACTATCAGGGAAAACTGGTGACAGTAGTCAATCAGACTCTGTATGTGCCAGCACACACTGTATTCATTTCACATCTAAAGAAAATTAATCATATCCTGTCCTGCAGAATGCTTCTGTACAATCAGACTGCAAACAATTGCATCAGCTTCAGTGTGCCCTGTGAGGTGCATGCCTCCTATATTCATGTGCACCAAAATCTGCACCTCACTTGCAACTGGAAGCCAAGCAGAAGGAGAAGCCACCTACGCCCCACGGCTCTGTGAATGTCCTGCATGCACATATACCTACTTGCCTCCTAAAGCAACTGCTGAAGGAAGATCTGAAGTCAAAAAAGAAGTGACACTTTGAATCAAGCTGTTCTTTGCTTATAAAACTCATGACTCGTGTTGACCTGCCTCCAGTTTGCCTGAGACTTATAGTGACTAAACCAAGACAAACCAGACTGCAAATCCCTATCTGTGTAGTACTTGCAGCTTCAGCAACATCATGGTGAAAATCAAAGCAGCACTCAGCACTTCAGCCATAGCCTATTGGGTGAGCCAATTCATCTGGGTTGTTTGGAGAGCAAATAGGAAGACTGCAATAAATAATAAAACTGTGAAACACCCGCTCTGTCTCTGGATCCAAACTCAGCCAAGTAATTCCTTGCCACAGCTGATGGAATGAAGGAGCAGCTCTCACATAGGGTGACAATCTTTACCAGTAATAAAGATTGTATTTCGAACGCTCAACATGCCAAGTTGGAAGAGATCGGCTGCTCTAGGTATGGCAGCCATCCAGCCATCCAGCTTAGGTACTCTTGTTGTCTTTCCAGCCAGAGCATCCCCTGCCAGCCGCTCCTACACGCACACACTCACGCTGCACATCTGCCTACCAAGTGTCCGAGCGGACTGCTCCCTCCTCCTCTTCCCGGTGTCTTCTCACCGTTTTAAACTCAAAATGCTACAGAAAGAGCCAGCGTTGTCACACGAATGCCAGGCTTTGTTCTGCGCCGGGCAGCGGCCCGGGTGCGGCCACTAGAGCGCAGCACGCACCCGCGCAACCTGCGCGCATCCCTTCCCTCCCGCACAGAACTGATAAAAAACAGGGAAAACACTGGGGAAAACCAGCCCAACTAACCAAAAGGCCACTATTTCCCTCCCTCGTTCAATCAGCATTTAGGAGCCGCTAGAAATCTGAATCTTCGTCTGAAGAAAACCAGGGTAAAATCTGAAAGCATCAGCATTGCCACCCGCTAATAAATCTCTCCTGAGAAATTTGGTTTGAAAGAAAAACTAAAAACTTCTTCAGTTTGGTTCTGGAGGAGCACACGAGTGCAGCCAACCAACAAACTGGGAAGCCTTAAGAGCTCTGCTAAATGCAAAGACCGAGAGGAAAAATTACGCCAAACTTGCAGGAAGATGCGCCCAGCACATAGAGAACCCCTGCGAGCTGCAGGAGGTGTTCCTGTCCCCCGAGCTCCTCGCTGCCCAGCGGCCTCGGACGTTCCCTCTCTTCCCCGAGAGCACCATGCAGGGTGACCAGAGTCAGGAACAATCTGTGCCTGCCTCAAGCACCACCCCAAGCTAATTAATGCCTTCTGCACATGATCCGGCAGTGGGAAAGGTTCCCGAGCACAGGAAAGCTGCCCCAGCACCAGCTCCAGCATCCCCTGCTGACATCAGGGGGATCCCAGCACCCAGCAGAGTGAGGAAGGCCACAAGAGGGGCCCATTGCTTTACACGAGACAGTATTTCTATAGCAGCAGATGATTCCTCCCAAGTCGGGTTTGCTCCTTCCATCCAAGCCTGACACCTTCTTGCTTCTCAGCTAGAGCTGAGACTGATCTACCACTGAAATAACATCCAGGCAAGAGTCCCTTCTTGTAGCCCACAAGAGATGAGCGAGAGAGCTGCTCTCTCTACATCTCCCAGTTCCAAGGCTGAAACTTTGTCCCCTGTAGCAAGCAACCTTCTAACAGATGCATCTGGTGACTCCATGTAGAGCTGTCTTTATAGGATTTACCACATCTGGCTGTTTGGGCACATCAACCAATTCCAGGAACTCCTCATAGGCATTACCAAGCATCAGGGACTGAAACCCTTTAGAGCCTAAAGGCAACCATGGCCATGTAAGAGTGTAATTATTAGCAAACCAAAGAGAGGAGTGACAGGCCTGCACACTGCAGGGGCGTGCTGTGCATTTACCTTGAAGGGGCTGTGCAGCTCTGGGTGACGGTGGCGGTGCACGATGAGCCCGAGGGTGGCCAGTCCTATGAAGAGCCATCGGGAAAAGCTGAAGAAGTTCAGTAGATGGTAAATGTCTCCAATGCACACCATGACAGTGACCAAAGGGAACTGAGCATTGTGAACATGAAATACAGTCATTAAAGCCATGGATCACCCCCTCTAATCCCCCTGGAACTACTTCACAGCCCCAACATTTTGGAGGTCAGACAGCTTTACAAAACAGTGTCACAGACTGAAGGCAAAATACCTAAAGGCAATGTTCTGTAGTGCTACAGAAAAGAGTGATCATTTCAATATCAGCAGCCTCTTAGATGTTTCATGTCCAAGCCAGGGCAATTAAAACATGCATAATCCAAAAGCCTGCACTGCTGGTACACAAGCTATCTACAGTGACATTTGCTAAGTTTTTAGCAGGTCAGCCAAGCTGCAACAGGCACAGCAGCACAGTTGGGATGAAGCTGGACCATTGCCATAAAAAAAAAAACCCTGAACAAACCAAAATGTGAGACCAGACCATCTCTACAAATGCTCATTGCCTGCATTTCCACCACACCTGGGAGTTTTCAATTTCCAAAGAGCCAAAGCCTAGCAGAGGTGTTTTTGTAAGGCAATATCAAGCAGCACCTGTGGCAGATGGTAGGGACTGTGCTTTTAAAAAAGGTGTATAATGTTATAAGGCAGGGACCTCAAGGCTGTACATTTGGATACCACTGCTGACTCAAGGGGACTTAATACTTTGCAGCCATTTCCTGTATGCTGCCTTCTTTATTTTTCAGGGGATAATTTAATGTCTCAACACCCTTTAAAATTCCTCAGTTTATCCAGTCCTTGCAAGAAAGCCAAGACAGCAAAAGAGCAGAGCATGTCACACACAGCCAGATCTCCTTACCATTAACATGACAGCAGGAAGGGGGGTGTGCCTTCGAATGTGGATCATGGAGAAGAGAGGAGGCCACTGCCCTTCCCTGGAAGCCACAAACAGAGTCCTAGGAAAAGACAGGGAGCCCTAGACATTAACATCCTACTTCCACATTAGAAATTAGCTCAGTCACTGGACTGACCTGAGGCATCAAGGCACCCGCTCCCTTCCCCAGCACAAGCCTGCTTTTGAAGGCCACAGCTCTGCCTTTAGCTGCACTTTCATAGAAAGTTTGGTTTGGGTTGGAACCCACACCCCTGCCATGGGCAGGGACAGCTTACACTAGACTGAGTTGCTCAGAGCTCCACTTTGGGGGCATCTGGAAGAAAACCCCAGGGTTGAATTTCCACAGCTCTCCCAAGACCAGTTCAGTGCAGTTCAGAGCCCACCATCAGAACCACTGGCAGTGTCTCCTTGGGTGCCTCATTAGCAGAGACCTTTGGGCAAGTCCAAAGTGACCATGAATGAGCTCAGACTAGAAACAGGAGTAAGAAAGTCTCTTGCCATCAAAAAAGGAATTAATCTTTTCAGTGAAAAGGAAGTGAAGAGATCACAAACTTCAGTCCTTTGTAAGAGAAACTAGTGCGTTTATGAATGGGGATTGTCAGCTTTGAAGCCTATATTCTTATATGAACACATACAGAAAAAATAAAGTGCAATCTCCTCAAATGACAGAAGATTTCCAATCCTCTGGTCAGCTGTTGGAAAATACAGTTTGTCATACTGCCAAGAGACCAGCTTCACACAAGAACAGCTATAAAATGAGAGCAGAGAGTTCCTTGCTTGCATCCCTCCTTTGACTCATGAAAAAGCAATTAGGGAGAAAACAATCACATCCAATTTTATAAATTTAATATCCTCAAACAAACCATGCCAGAGCATCAGCTGGGCTGAAGCAGGGCCCCAAGCAGCTGGGGCACAAGTGTACAACTGGTTTTATTGCTGTCTCTGTGGCTTTGCAGGGGTGTGGCTGGCAGGCAGCCAGGGAGGCCCCATCAGTGTTTATATGGACTTTCTGCAGTGATTATGTTAATGATGCCAGAATGGGGGAGAGAAGGTCAACAGGGGACATGAAGAACCTCTGTGCTGCCCAGAGACTTCTTATCCTCAAATAAAACCCTTATCAGCTAATGGGAAGGATTGTCCACACCTGTATTTAATACAAGACTTTGGGGTAGTGGAACAGATAATTCATTAGCTTTCAGATCAACTGATTTTTTTCCCTTTGAAATCAAAGCTGTGAAGCAGAACCCGTGGCAGAGAGTTTGCTCAGCTCCACAGGACCAGCACAACATAGTTCTTCATAAGGTCTGCCCTGCTCTCCAGTTTCAAGGCTCCCATAAGGACACGGAGTGTGGCACACAGTGAAGCTGGCAAGTTTATTTTTCCACGGAACAAAGCTTTTCTTATTGCTATAACAAGACTTCTTGAACCTTGACTATTGCTATGAGAATAGCCCATTCCAATGATATTTCACTGACTTCAAAGCAAAGTCCTCAAGGGAGAGTTTGCCTAGAGAGCCTCACAATAGAGGGACCCCATGCCCTGCAGCAGCACAGCTGGGTGAACCCAGTGAAAGAAGACTCAATCTCACTGAGCAGCTGCCAACATCAACAAAGCCTTCAGTTCACCAGAAACATTGACATTTCACTTTAAACTGGGGATTTAAACTGAAGGGTAGGGGAGAAGATAAAAATCTTTCTTTGTGACCAGTCCTGGGTACCAAAGTCTGGACCTGGTCAGAAGCAGAAAAAGTAAACTCTTAGCCAAAAGGAACCATCCTGTATCTGCAAACCTGGGTATCAAAAGCCTTATTTTTCTCACAGGAGTGGCTAAAATGACATTGTGTGGGTGGGTAGTTGCAAAGGTTGGTGATGTTTTCCTCTGATTCAGTGAGCCAAAAGCATAATAGATCTTTAGGGATGTGACCTTGAAAATGTGAAGATTCCTCCATTCAGGGTTCCAAAGCAGGACAGTGCAACAAGGACAGGGACCACGGAGATCAGGCTTTTGAAGGCTCGCTGCACAAAGCTCTGGAGAAAGAGCAAACGTGACTTTAGGGAGCATGTGGTGATCTCTAGGTTAGGTGCCATCAGGGTCAAAACCAAGAAAACTTCTTCCACTGAAGGAGTACTATAGAAGTCATAAATCTCACCTTTTCTACTGTCATCTACAGGTTATTTTCATTATTTTTTAGGCATGAGAAGAAGAATTTAGTGTTGTCCAGTCATCCAGAGAAATTGCAAAGCAATAAAGCATTTTATAGGAAAACCATTTCTGGAAGACTTGCCATGAGCACAGCATAAGCTGGCCACACTGAGGAGGTAACAACAGCAATGACAACTCACCACAGCCACAGCAGGAGAAGCCAGAACATCTTGTGTTCCCAGGACTGTGTAATAGGAGACGTTGGTGAGCATGTACCCCACAATTACCATGATCACAGACACGATGACAGCCAGGGGGATATTTCTACAAGGAAGTGGAACACACACACACAAAGAACAAGCTGCTGTCGCTTGTTATGCACAGTATTACTGCAGATTTTATCTGGTAGCACAATTGATGGCAGTCAGGTGAACCCACAAACTCATTCCTCCTGTACTGCACTTGGGAAAGCTGCAGCCCAGAGGCTGGAAACCCAGGGCAGCTTCCTCCCAGCCTTACCGTTCAGGTTTGACCAACTCTTCACGCACAAAGCTGGTCTGAAACCTGCACGATGGAGGGGAAGAGATGGGGTGAGAGTCTGAGTCGTGCTGAGGACACCTGTGTGTATGAAGTGCCCTCCCACCGCACCTACCAGCCGGAGTATGCGAACATGCCTGCATAGAAAGCCAGGGGGAGCTTGTCCAGAACCAGCGACTGTCTGTCAAAAGCATCCTGGAAGTGCTCGGTGTGGCCTGCAGAGGAGATAAACAACACATACAGAACAGGAAAATGTCAGAAACAGGCTTCCTTCCCTCTAGGATAACATCCCGTGTACCTCTTGCCCAGACCTGGGAGGAGAGTTCACGATTTCCTTGGAGCAGGGTATTCAAAATCATTTCATTGCTTTAATTTCAGTGCTGTTGCTGATATGTTTACTTTCCTACAGTGACATTAAAACAAAAAAAAAAAAAATCTATCCCTTGTCCAGCTATGGTAAGCATTTCAGGAAGAGCAACAACAATAGCTGGTTGTTTCCAACAGACTCTGCTGTGGGAACAGGAGATTATGGAGATGAGGGGATCTGTGTTGTCCTCTCGTTCCTGGAGGGCCAAAATTAAGTTGCTGGATTGACCCCCCCCCCCGTTCCATCCCCAGCCCCCTCAGCAGCTGGACACACACTGCCCTTTGATGTGGTGCAGCCAGCGAGGAGACTAACTCAGCTCTCACTGTGCTCTCTCCTGCTCCTGCTGCTGGAGCATTGACCCCAGCCCTGTGCTGGCCAGAGCATGGGAACCAGGCTGGGGGAGGGAATGGGAGCAGGGATCTGCCAGTCTGACCCACTAACCACTCACCCACAGGAAAGGATACTTGAAAATAAAATTTTCAAAGTAGAGGTGTCTCAGGTATTTACAAACTCTAAGTTTCCTTCAAGCTTGAAATGACAAAACAGAATTTAACAACAACAAAAAAAATCAAAGCCAGGATTTTCTCTAAATAAAACAAAACAAAACAAAACAACAACAACAAAAAAAAATAGGGAAGAGAGAAATGCTGAATGGCCTCTCAATCGAACACAGTCAAAAGGAATTGCATTCCCAACATCTTCAGATCCAGGTAACCCAAGGTCTGATTCCACATCTATGTTAAATTTTCCATAATAAACTCCCTTTAAGAGGTGAGAAGCTTGCCTAGTTGGTTTTCACCAGGCAAGATGTGACATAGCATGTAAGACATGGAGAAAACTAGGCCACTTCTATGGAGGTGCTTCTGCAAGAAGTTCAGTGACAAGATTTGAGCATTTGGGTTTGAAATACTGGCCCAACAAGTCTCTAATATAAGCCTGAGCCAAAGAGAAGGTAATGACAGAGGAAAGGGCAGAAGTGCAATCCAAAAGAAGCAGCACAAGGCAGAGGAATCAGGCAAAATTATTTAAAAGCACAAAACTGATTTTTAAGCACCAAAAAAAACCCGAAGTTAATTTAAAAATAGGTTTGAAGAAAACTAACCCAAAGTATAGGAGTGGGCATATTGGGGTACTTTTTTAATGTTCTGAAATGATGGCTAGTAAGTGATGGTGCATGAAAAGGATTTATTGCCTGCAATGCATTAATGAGCAATTTACAGTCCCCTGTGAGTCACATTAAATCCAACCTGTCACACTGGAGTCTCTCGGTGAAGTCTCCCTCCAGATGTCACCTGCACTTATCCTCCCCACCAGAAAACAGGAGCCAGGGCTCCAGATTGTCATTTGAAGGCATTCCTAACAATAATGGCTCAGGATCCTAGCTGCAGGGAGTCCTTTAGTTCAGCCAGCCAGCCCAAGGGGAGATTTGCATGTTCAAAGGAGCCAGCTCCAGGCATCAGAAAGTAACACAAATACAAGCACGGAGCCCACTGCCTGTGGTGTTTCCTCTGCAGAAGGTAATAGTATGAAGAGGGAGCAGGCTTCATCCCTTGAGTGGGAATGCCTTGGGCTTTTCTATAAACTGAGGCTTGGATTAGAGCCAATACTCTTGTATTGGTAGGGGTTTTCTCCCCCACTCTGCTCGTGTGTTGCGATTTTGATTAAACCAGGCAGAAAACACTGCATTGTGAGCATGGAATCCTGCACCAAGTTCATTGTAAGTTCACTAAATTACCACCCATCTCGATCTGGAGGTAAAAAGCATCAGCTTATGCCACAGAAAGGCTAGAGATGTCATTACCAGGGCTCAGCTGTGACTGGCACAGGGGATGCTGTCACATATCCTAAATGTCCGTCAAATATGTGCTGCTTTGGAAAGATTTTGAGCTACACTGGAAATAGGCAAGTCTGACTCCAAAAGAGCATCTGCAGAGACAGGGCTAGGCTCATCCACTGGCACTAAGACCCACAAAATTTTGGAGAAAGCACCACCCAGCCAAGTAGATCAGCCCAGTGCAATGATGCAGCTTGCGATGGTCTCAGCTCCCAGCTAATCCACACCTGGCACATGGACAGAGAAGGCTCCTGCCAGCTGGGTGAGCACCACACTTGACACTTGGGACTGATAAAAGCCACGATTTGGATTGGTGCCATCGAGCACCCTCCCTCAGCCATGCAGCAACACCTACCCTGGGCCAGCAGCATCATCCCTGGCACGATGATGAGTGCAAGAGCCAGGAGTTTGACAATGGAGAGCGCCGTCTGCAGCCGCGCGCTCCAGGTGACGCTCCAGGAATTGAGGGTGAGGACCATGTCTGGAGAGAAAACCACACTGCTACAGCTGCAGCCTGGGCTCAACACACACAGGAAAAACACAGCAGCTCTCCCTGCACTAGGGGTGCTGGGGGAAAGCTGCATCTTTATGCCTTAGAGAGGATGCCTGGGGTGAGGGATGTCAGAAAACATCGGTGTGGTCCAGCACACAGTGTTTAAAGAGGGAGCTGACTTGTACTCCTAAAAGGGAGCAGGAACCTGGTTCCTGCTGGGTGATCCACACCAGTCTGGAGCAGACAGGACAGTTTCATGGGCTGGATGCACCAGGAGAGGAGTCCAAAACCTCAGGTCTTACACCCACAACTCATGTGGCTTTTGCACAATTACACGTGGAGAGTTTCTGCTCCCACACCTGGCAAAATCCCCCTACCTAGGGCTCCAGCTGGTCAACAGGGAGGCCCATTCCCCTTCCTAGAGAATATAGTGACCCAACACCATCACCTTGAATGAGAACAATTTAGCTGAGCAGGTAAGCCAGGACCCTTATCCCACAGCTGTCCCAGGAAATAACACCCCATAAGTGGTCCTAGTCTAGGGCAGAGAGGCCAGGATGGACAATCCCACAAGTGTTAGAACTTACAGTAGCCCAGGAGAGATACGAGCTTCACTGCAGGGACAGGGGCAGCACAGGGGGCGAAAAAAGGCTCCAGCATGTATCGTCCAAACGCCAGGGAAACCACAGCACTGTTGGCAGGCCTGGAGTGGGGGGAAGCAAGCACAAACTGCCCTGAGGATGGCTGAAAAATGGCATGAGGCAAAACTGCACAAAACTTGGGAAGAGGAGCAAGTTTCCCTGCCTGGATTAATCCTCTCACCCATGCAGATGGTGAATTCCCATTGAGTTTTTCTCATAGGTTTTTCTCATGGGTTAAAAACCACATGCTGAAAAATGATTAATTTCCAACTTGAAAGCAAAAGTTGAGATTAATCATACTGAGCAATGCAAGTGTAGTTCATATGTTCTGCTTCATCTAAGCTTACAAGAAGAATACAGGTTATTGAGAGGTGAGGATTTCCTTTTTAATGCTAAAAAAAGAAGTCGTTCACAATTGTATAAATTATTTAACTTGGGCCTAAATCAGGAAATTGTCTCCACTTTTTGAATCTGGAGAAACCAAAGAAGTTTCACACTGAAACCAGAAGATCTGAAATAAATCTGGCATCTATTGTCAGTCTCTGAAATGTACCACAGCTCTTGGGGAATACGAGCTGCCAGGGGAGAAGAGAGATATTCTTCCAGTACAGAACACATTTAACATTTGTAACTATTTCCACATTGCATCTTCTTCCTTTTATCACTGAAAAATCTTCAAAAATCATTCAGCTTGTTTCTACTCTTTCCTTTACAAACTGCCTGGACTGTTACATGGCACCATAACTTTTGGGATTTTAAATTATCACTGCATCCAGGAAGAGGCAAGCAAACCCAAATCTCTTACCTGATAGCAAAAAACTCCGCCCACAGGAATAAGAAGCTTGGCAGAGGCCCTAGTGTCTCCAAAATGTAGATATAATGTCCTCCAGACTTGGTAATTCTTGTTCCAAGCTCTGCATAACACAAGGCACCTGGAAAAGTTCAGGTAGAAATGTACCAAGTAAATAATCCCAGGGATTTTCCCTTTTCTGTGTGATTCTTCAGGGATTGAACAAATTCATTTAAAATAAGTAGTGAATGAGAGAGAGAAAAAGTTTTAACAGAACCACTTTTCCCTATTTTTGTGCACTACCGTGGTTTGAAGTGAGTTTTGAAGTAATTGGCTTACCTGTCAGGTGGAAAGAAATTCTCTATTTTGTGGCTAATGTTACAACATTTCCATGGAAGCTCCGAAGAAGAGTGTGTGATAGAAATGCTGCACAGAGCTACAAGAGGTTTCCTTTGAAATCCTTTACCCTGGAATTTTGCTTCTCCTCACAGTTAGCCTGGTGAAATGGTGCTCACAAAGCAGCCACAGCAGCTCAGCCACAAGCCATGGCTGAAGTGGCCATTCCAATCGTGTTTTTGGTCCCAGGCCACATTCTTGTATCCTTATCTTGCATCTTCACATAAATCCCTTCCCTCCCTTGACTCCAGTGGTGACATGGCCATGCCTCCAAGTCCCATGGCAATCATGCCATGTTCAGGTTGTGCAGGATGGTGACAATCTCAATGTTTCCTGCCTCCCTGCTGGAAAATTTGTGCAGAATTCCTGTTCAAAGCATCAAATAGAGGCAGACAGCTCATCTCCTTTATTCCAGTGGGTCCCTCTAAATGCTTCAAGCATGCATATTAGTGTGTTGCTGAACTCATGCAATGGGACTTGTATATATGCCCCACTTGAATGAAAAAAAAAGCATAAAAGAGAGCAGGCCTTTTTAAATATACTGTAAAAAAGTGTCAGAGAAATGATCAGGGGAGGTCATCAAGCTGATAAAAGGGAAGAACAAACCAACAAATCCAGCTACAAAATGCAATCACTTGATAAAGAGGCTCCCTAAGCCTTTCCAGCAGAGTGTATCAAAGGATGCTGTAGAAGGAGAAACCTTTGCAAGTGCAGAGCTTAGCTATGTGATTTAACATACATTACACACACTATCATTTACTGCTCTGTTTGGTTAAAAGAAACACCCTGCTCCTGTTATATTGTCAGCTTTTCTTTAAGCAGAAGTGTATAATTCCCCAAACAACCACATAGAGGTTAGGAACTACTAACTGCTAAGAGCAATTTATTGCCTTATTAACAATTGAATGTCTCAGTTTCTAAACTTGCATGCACATGTCACAGTGTCAAAGTGTTTGCTTTTTTTTCATATAGAGTATTTATCTTTTCTTGTTGTTTTGTTTGTTGTTGTTATTGCTGTTGGTTTTTTAGTAAGTTACAGAAAAGAAAAATGTTAAGGTCACCCACTGTAATAATCATCAGATTTCTCTCCTGGGCTGGGAGAACTTGCAGTTGCCCTAATAGCACCTTTAGAGAGTTTCTGAGATGGTGATTTTATACAGTTAATGAAAGAAACTAAAAGCCATGTGTTTAATCCACTGTAACTTATAAGAGCTGTGTTATTTCAAAAGAACTAGAATGAAACTGTCATCAAAACGACAACTCTTTGTGAGAAAAGACTGGTATTAAATGGCAGAAATGAAGCCAATATAACACACAGAAAGTGGGGCAGCATCAGACATAGCCACAGCATTTCCTACAGACACCCAACACCCACCCCAGGCTGGTGCATGCCCTGCAGCCCCCCAGGAATTCTTCTCCAGCTGTTCCCTCTGACAGAAAGGGGGTCCCACGTGGCATATTGGGACTCTCCCATCTTACTCTCTTCACAGTGCCTCTGGAAAGCACAGCACAGCCCTCGGATTCCTTTTTAGGTACCTACATCTCCTTTCTACCTTACAGAAAGAGTCCCCTCACCCTCTCCCAGCTTTCCTGGCAGAGACCACGCTGTCTCCATTTGCAGTCACTGTCACTCCCCTGCCCTGGACTTGTACATGAATTGATATTCACAGACCATAAGTGCTGGAAGTTTGTCCATTACCCCAAGGAAATAATTTGAACTAAAAACTCCTAGTGACCATCCCCTGACTTCTTAAACCCTCTTAAACCAGAAATTTGGGGTTTATTCACCTCCCAACTTTCTAAACACAAAAATGCCCAGGCTCCCCTCAGCTCCCAGGTGCTTTAGCAAAGGCTGCCAAAGCTCAGCACTCACCAAACATGGAGAGGAGTCCACAGGAAAACCAGACAACCAGGGAGAATCCCACACTGCCCGAGTTTTGCAGCACTCCCTTGGGGGAAATAAAGATGCCACTGCCAACCATGCTGCCGATGAGCAGCGAGAAAGCCCTCAGCAGAGTTATCTTTTTCCTCAGGAAAATGGCCTCTTCTTTCTTGTTTTTCCCCATGGCTTTCTTCTAATCACAGGGCAATGTCTCACATTCAGAAGCTACAGTCTCCCAGTGTCCTCAAGGCTCACCTGTAAGACAAAGAGTTAGGGATTCAAGGATCTGCTTTTCTGGACAATTTTTTTTTTTTTCAGTAACTGGTCAAGAGCTTTTGAATCTGCTCTGCTCAGCTGCAGGAATTAACAGCCAGGCCACAGGTGCATAGAACACCCTTGGTATCACCTCTCATATCAGCACAGCTCCCAAGAGACACTTCAAGTGTTTTCTGCTTCTTCCAGGCACCACAGAGCTTTACATGTTGCATGCCAGCCACACCTCAGGATGATTCCCAAATTTGACTTTGAGTAATGTCAGATTGCCCAGACTGGAACTGGCCAGCTTAGGGTTAATTTCATGGGCTCTAATATGGGGATACATTGATTTCAGAAAACAGATTTAAACTGGCAGAAAACAGATTTAAAGTTGCCAACTAACAATCAATACCTTGAGGATCTCTGAGGTTAGAAAAACATTAAGCTGCATAGTCAGTGCACAGAGAGGATTTCAGCTTTTTTAACTTTCTATCCACCCTTGCTGAATGAACTAGTCCTGATTTTCTCACCAGAGCTTTTTTACCATTGTTTCTTAATACAGTGTCAAGCTTTTTGACTTTCAAAGTATTGAAGAGTCAGGAATAAGTACTGTTTACAATTGTAAGACAGAGCTTAGTCATTACTAACAGACCTGCCATTTCTTCTATTAATATAAAAAATTCCTTGGTAATAACAGCAGTGAAGTTTTTCCTAGAAAAGAAGGAACTTCAGATACTTCAAGGATCATGAGTTGATCCAGATTTAGTTTTCACAAACTGCACTTCCCACTTCCCCTCCTTGTCTCTCCTGTCTCTCTCTATTACCCCTAAATTGGCAACTTCACCAAGAAACTCACCTTTTGCTTAGGCAGGTAAGATGAATTCAGGTCAGTTACTACAGCCTAATTTGCTGTAGCAAGCTTGTCTGTAGTTTTCCTAATAGCAAGGTAGAAGTTTTACACTAGTAATTATCCCTGGTAGAGCAGGCAAGACAAGTCTGGAGTAGATAATTTGGCTCTTGTATGTATCACACATCCCCAACAATGCTCACACACTCAGCTTCAGTACTTTTATTTCCATTATTCTAACACGGTAAATTGCATCATGGTGAATATTTGCCCCAGCCCCATGGCTGTGTATTATTGCAAAGTTACACTTTACCTAAGACCCTATTTTATGAGTTTCTTGAATAAATTAGTAATTGCAGTGGTGTATCCACAAGGAGACAGTGGTCACCTCTAGAAGCAGACCTAAGCAGCCAGAAATTGCTTTCTTGGTAGAGAGATTAAAATGTTCCCCTAACTCTGAGGGGACAATTCTCGTTACCACTCACTCACGATATTTCTTTGCATTCCCTGTATAAATTCAGTGTAACCAAGGTCTTTTCTCCCCCATCCCCAGCTCTTTTCCCACCTGGAAGCTGGGTTATCACTTTCTCTGCACACATATGACAAGCACATGCAGAAAGCCCTTTCTCCTGCCAGCAGCATGAGCTGGTTTCTCTGAGACTGTGCCAAGCCTGCACAAGCTTCTCCTCAATCAAACCAGCCAAGTTTAGTTATTAAACCTCTAATGAGTCCCACAGGACTCCTTAAGGCTCAGATGGGTCACATCAGCCTCATCTGGTCCCACAGAGCTGCTCCTCAGAGTCCCGAAACCTCACAGGGCTGCTCTGGAAGAGCAGAGACAGACCCCTGGGAGCCCCCCAACCCCTGAGCTGCAGTTTCCTTAGTCACCAATTAATTACCTTAATGCTGAATACCAATATTGTCTGGTATTTCTCAGCTGAAATGAGACCTGCTCAGCATTCATTTGCAGGGGTGAAACACAGAGCCTCACCAACTGAAACCAAACCGAAGAGAGATGCTGTGCACAGCTATGTCTAAAGCACCGTTTGGAGAGAATTAAAAGTGCACTTATCTGTTTGGCTGGGTTTTAAACAAAGCAGGTGCATTTACAGTCCATCAGACTCCCATTTCTGCTGGGATCCCGAAGCCGCAGAAGACAGCGTCTCTTTGCAGGCTCTGAAATCACACAGAGAGAGCAGGGGAGGAACAAAAAAAAAAACAAAAAAAAAAAAAACCAGGAGAGATCAAATCAAATTTACAGACCAGGTTAATGATCCAAAGTAAACACCAAACTCCGTACTTCTGTCCCCCATGCTTTTTTTTTTTATTTTTTTAAATACTACTGCCGTGCAAAAGTACGTGGAGATAAAAAAATCCAGTCCAGTAAATTTTAGAAACATGAAATGAATCAGTACTTGTTCCAGAAGGGGTTGAAGGAGGAGGAAAAAAGGCGGAAAAGGAAAAAAATATATAAAGAGTAACAGAAAGCCATTGAATAGAACTTCAAAGAGTCACCTAGCAGAGCCTACAGCCCAGAGAGACCATTCCTGCCTGCTCAGCTTTCCAGCTACATTCCAGCACCAGGCACATTAAAATTCAGGGATGTTAATCCTTGTGGCAATGCTTAAGAATATTCACAATGTGCTTAGCACAAAGGAAACAGCCAAAGCTGCTTTGACCTAAAGGATAGGCTCAAATCCTTCTTGTCCCAAAATGCAGATACCTTTACATGAGAGAGATCATCAGTCAGCAGGGCTGGAGAAAAACACTGCTCACACCTATTTCACATCTTATCACGTATATTGGATCCCTGTTCTTCCTTGTTCTTCATTTGCACTGATTTTATTGTTGGTTTGGGGTTTTTTAGCTGTGAATCTTACCTCACAAGCACTGGAGAGGGAGGAGACAGGCGTGAAGGGAGAATCATGTCTGTCACTCTCTGTGGTGTCTGGAAGCCCCAGCCAAGAGCAGGAGCCACTGTGCTCAGCACAGAGTGGATGTTACTCTGATAAAAAGCTAGTGAGATAAACAAGCAAGCTGGAAAAGGAGAGGAGGGACAGAGCACCATTCTCAGCTGGGAGCTGAGACCTAGAACAACAAGAGACCTTTCTCCTCCCATCGTGCAGGGAGCTGATGGCATCCCAGGGAAAGCAGACCAGAGCCCCTCTTCAATAACCTACCCCTTGAAAAACACCCCAGCTACTAGGGAATATTCCTAAATATTTACAGCTGTATTTTCTTTGCATCCTCAGTCAATATCATATAGCCAAGAACAGGTTAACTCCTTCCTTTTCGTACTGCAAAAGATGCAGGCATCAAACTATTCCTTGCAGTCTCACTATTTTTTCTTTTTTGGTGCCAAAAATGTCACTCCAATGTCTACCACAAGGCACAGAATCTAACTAAATAAAATCAGCAGTGAATGGGAGCTTTTTTATTCATGCATGAAAGTAACATAAATAAGCTTTAATGAGGCTGGTGGTGGTCTGTTCTGGGAACTCAATCAGAAAATCTATTTAGGAGACCTGAGAGATGTTTGTTTATAGACCAAAACGAACACAAGAAACAGGCTGAAAGGACAAGACATGCAGCTCAACTTCTTTTCAGCATTCTACAGCTGGTTTGCCACCCTGGATAAGAAACCAAAAGGGACAGTAGTTATTAAATCAGGCTCAGGCTTGCAGCCCCACATGTAGTAATAAATCCATGCAGTTGCCTTAGGTGTAAATGTAAAAATAATTCTCTTTCTACAGAGTTTCACTAATATCATCTTGTGAGCTGTCTATCAAAAGATTACTATTTCCTAACATCTCTGTCTTAATGAAATATTTTTTTGCCTTGACAGCAAAATTGCATTTGGCTCAGGTCACAGCACTTCTATCACCTCATTTAGGCACTTCCAGTTATCCTTGAGAGAGGGGTAATTTTTCTGGAAAACAGGCTGATGGTATGGTGAGTCTGGACCTCTTGATGATACGAGGATGACCTTTTAATTGAGAACTTAAAAGTGTTGAATCCACACTTTAACTAAATCTGACTAAACCAAGATCAAGGTTTTCAAGCAGCTAAATTCCTGTTGGCTTGAGAGTTCCTTCCTATCAGGATTTATATTCTACATCAACTTTAAAGTTTTTCATTAATGTCTGCCAAAGCAGACATTACAAATGGAGATGCTTTGTAACTGTAGCGTGATTGATTTCCAGGATGCACAGATCATAAAACATCATCTCACTTTTCTAGGCTTTCAATGATAACTCTCCATTCAGCTGCCACAAGGAATGTGCACTTCTGTGTATCCAGAACTGATTTCCCATTGATGTTGTTGTGCAGGAACATTTTATGAGCATTTCTTCCTCACATGTTGCCAGTGACACGCAAAATACAAATCTGGAGAGATGCACACCTGGTTAAAAAAGACTCCAATAGCACCAGCATCCCTTTATGATGAACTCACATGATTTCTCTTTCTTACAAGCAGGAGTAGGGAATACCCAAGGCCTTTGCATCCCAGCCCATCAGATCCAAAGGAGCAACAACACCCAGAGCACCAGGCACTGGAGCACATGAATCCTAGGAAAAGAAACAAAACCCTAACAAGAGACTGTCTCACATAGTTGTGTTTCCCGAGGCAAACATCTTGGCTCAACATTATCTCTAGTGAGGCACAGTGCAGGGAAGTGTCCTCAGAGCTTTGTTCTTTTGTGGACAGTCTTCCAAGCAGCAAGCTGTTTTTACTCTCCAGATCAGACCTCCTCCCTGGAACAAGACAATTTGTCCTATTCAAAACTGTTTTCTTAGCTGCATAAGACACAACGCAAACAAAAATAAATCTAAACATTTCTAGCAGAAGACACCCAGCAGAGAAGTCTAATGGTGCAGCAAAGTACAGTCAAACTTTCCCCAAATGAGAATTCTTCTCAAACACTTCAAATTTAAAAAAAATTCCATATAGAGAAACATTCCAATGGTTTGTGACACTGCATCAGGGCTGAGGTCTGGGGTTTTGTCTGGCTTTGATCTGGAGCTGGCCAGTGCCAAAGCCCAACAGCTCTTGCTCCTGCAGGGAAAATTCCTCCACGAACCAGGCTTTTGTTTTACCTCAGGTCTTGACTGAGGGCTACAAAGGACACTGCTTCCTAGCCACTGCTTAGTGACTTAGAAAAAAAAGAAGTTTGAGAGACTCAGGTTGCTCAGTGGGAGCTGTTACTCATCCCTGGGGCTGCTGCTGTGCAGGGCTGCTATGGTGGGGTCTTTATCCAGTGTTCCCATCAGCAATAGGCACCATCATCCAGAACCAGGTGCTGCTTTAGAGCTGCAAACTAATCCCTGAGCCTCCCCATTAATAACCTGCAAGAACAAGACACATTTCCTGAATGGGGGGAAATGCCAAAATGGCCATGCTCATCACCAGCCTTCCTCACAAAGAGGTAATTTCTCACTAATACCAGCTATTTTATCCTGCTATAGAGACAGCTCTCTGCTGGTGAAACTCCAGGAGAAAGAAGAAACCCTCAGCTGCTTTTGTTGTTGTCAGATGGGGGGCCCCATCGATGGGGGTTCCGGATCTGCCCTGCTTTAACCATCTGGAATGGAATCCTTTGAGAGCTGACTGATGTAATAAAATTCCTCTTTCCATATTGCTTCATATATTACATTAGTTTCCCCCTTAATCTCACTGCAGTGCTGATGATTTATCACCTCAGCCCTCCAGTTCTCCTCAGACTCGACCTCAGTGCCTGGGTTTACTCCTTCTCTTCCCACCTTCAAGGAATTCAAAAGAAAATTTAACCATTCAAAAATAGCAACCCTTTACACCTGCATTAGTCACTCACTGTGACTGCTACTCATAGCCTAATCCATAGTTAAATCTCAGTGTTTTATGCTAAATCACCCACTCTGGCACCTGACACACACAGCCCAACCTCTGCCTTGAACATACCCTTAGGGTGGGGGGAGTCTCCTTTTGGCCTTTCTGCTCAGCTGTTACCCATTTAACAAAACACAAGCCAAATACACAATTATGCTGGAAGGAACATGTTTCCTTGTTAGGCCTTTTTGGCTCTTATCCAGCAATTTTCAGGCAATGGGGATTTATGTTTTACTACACAAAGTTTCAGAATAATTCCTTGCCATTTTCCAGGCATCTGATGGAAGTGGAACAAGAAGGGTTTTCTCTGACCTCTGCATCACCCCCTGTTCATGAGGCAGCACAGGAACACATGTCCTGGTCTGTCCTGGGTCACAGGGAGCAGTGACCTGTAAAAAGACACTGTATGTCTTTTGATATGATATGGCACCACATCATCCCAGGCAGTGCAGCCCCACCCCAGAGCCAGAGGGATGGCACCAGAAGCTAATCAAACACCTAACTCGTGTTTTTTTCAGGTAACATACAGGCCACCCCCCATTTTCACTTGTATTTAGTGAGAATCAGATTCTAGGAACAAGCATGTCAACAAAACCAGATCAACATGCTCACTGGGAAGGTTAAGTCAACACAAGGGCATGTTTATTCGATTTTAATGTAAGTACAGTAATGGAAGTATCTGCTGGGAAGGATCTCTGCGTGTCTCTGGCCCTGTCTCCCATCAGGAACAGAATTGTTGCCAACACTAGCTCAGATCATCCCTTGCTTTGTCTAGCCAAGCAAGGCTTTGTCTTAAACCCCCTCCAGAGTCCCTGACCTCTCTTGGTACCCTGTTCCAGTGTTGCTCCACTGCCCTGTGGAGAAGCTTCTCCCAAAGGTCACTCAGAACATCCCAACACTGCTTGTGACTGCTCTCCACAGCCCTGTCACCTCTCACTCCAGGGATCTCCAGGACAGGAGCTCACCTCACACATCAGCTCAGAGCAGCCTTTGGTGATGGTCCTTGGACCCTCCCTCTCCAGCAGCCAGGGCTCCACCAGCCCCCAGACATTCACTTCTCTTTGTGTGTCCCTCAAGTCTGTGGACTCAACACTGCTGCGAGTTGTGACTGCTGAAGCACAGAGAGCTACAGGAAATGGAAGGCACCGAGTGGATGTTCCCCTCCAATCTCCAGCATGTCTCTGATGTCCCCTGAGCCCCACACTGAAATGACCTCTGGTCTTGAAAACTCTATTTTTGGTGCTTTTTTTCCCCTCCCTGTCCTTTTTCCATCCTGGACTTTGGAGCTCCCTATGATCTTGTCGGCGTGATTGCATCATTGCTGGCAGGTAAGGTCAGCATGAATAGAAGGAAGAACAAACAGCACTTCACACAGCACGCCAGCAGCTGGGAGCACCTGCAGAGGTTACACACCCAGCCAGCTCTAATAAACACCTGCATCACTGCAGGAGCAGCAGCTACAATTGTGATGGTTCGTGTTGAAGCAGAGGTCACTGCATCTCCTGCTCCAGAGGCAAATCTGAGCCCTGCAGGGTTTCTCAGGAGGTTTCCTTTGTGCACAGCCCTGAGCCAGGGCAGCCCAGCAAGGCTCTGCTGCATGCTGCACAAAGAAAGGAATAAAATGTGTTTTCTTTCCCTTGTCACTGTAGCTCAGCACAGATGCAGAATATGCTTGGAGAGAGGAAGGGAGGACTTTCCCTTACAGGACTGGGCTGTAACCCTGTGAGGCACTTGGATTTGGGATCACTGTGGCCAGTACCAAGAAGTCACCATCCTGAATAAGGAAGATCTGCTTCAGCTCCTGGATGCCTTAAAACAATACCAGCCAATGCATCCCTAGCTCCTGGCATCTCCACGTGGCTCCTTCTTGGGAGTCCTTGCTGTGCAAGCACCACAGTTCAAACCTCTGCCTGTTTCTGTCCCCAGCTCACTTGCCATGTGAGACAAGGAGAGCAAGGGGATTGTTCAGGGCAGCCACTGCTCACCAGGCAGATGTGGGGCAAGGAGACCATTTGCCTGAGGAAGATCCCTGCTCTGGCAGGGGCTGCAGCACTGTCAGCAGTGCTGGCTGCCTCGTGGGACACCCTGTCCATGGCACCAGTGCTTTGTGAGAGGTGCCTCATGCAAGTGAGAACACTGCAAAATTCAGGACATCTGTACAAATTCCAGATTGATGCAGCTGCTGAAATGTAATTATGAAAAGTATTAGCAATTGAATTGAGAAGGCATTACAAAACATCTAAGGAGAAAGAAAATAAACTAGCATGCTGTGATTGATGTAAGCACGTAACAGCCTCCACATGTCACTGGGAGCAGCACAGTCTGCACCAGCTGAGGCACTCCTTCCAGAGATGGAAAAACACTTCCAAGGGAGCAGCTACACAGCTGGGGCCAAGCCCTTGCTCCCTGTCACAGTGCTGGTGAACCATGTGGGCCTCGATTGCCACACAAAGATGGGTTTTCAGGGGCACAAGGCCCCTGGACACAGTTTGGGCTTCTGCACTTGTCAAAGCTCGGGACTGAAACATAGCTGGGATGAGTTAACTGGATGTCAGGAATACTCCTCTGCCCTGTTCAGAACCGGGCCTCTGGGCCACCAAAGTGTTTGCTTTCAATCAGCACATGCTGAGCATCCCCAGACTCCAGCACCACTCCCAGGAGCTGCCAGTCCCTGCCAGCCACTTCCCACCCCACTGCAGCCTCTGGTAACAACTGACCCGGCCCTCTGGTGCTGAGCTCTGGAGAGATTCAAGGACAAACAAAGAGGGAGGTGATGGTCAATGTTGCTCCCTGGACTCACCAACATGGCCAAGGTTGTCAAACAATCACCCTCTCCTTTCTCAGTGTCTCTTTGGCTGCCCCCAACAGGCATCCTAATACCAGTTTGGTCAAACATGCTGGGGAAAAGTCATCATTCCAGATGAAATAGCTCAGATCCAAGCCCCAGGTCAATGGGTCATGCATTATGCAATTGTACTTACATGCAAAACACATCCAGCCTCTTGCTGCTCTTCCATAAAGCACATCCAGAAAGATGATGCAACATATCCTGCATATTGGTGGAGACAAGATAGGAGGAGCAGTATTAAGAGATTATCCCACATGCATCCAACTGTTTCTACTTAACAGGTGGCTACTCAGCAGGAGGTACAGAGGATACCAAATCACTAAGTTCTGGAAATCCCTGGAATTCTCTCATCCATCCCCAGCCACCCAGTGCTCTTTTAGATGAAGGAAAAGGGAAGGAAAAGGGAAGGAAAAGGTTTCTTGGGTGTTTTTCCACCCCGTCCTGCCCTACACTCTTTTTGTTTGTCCTGAGAAATGTTATTTTAAATGGCACCAGCAGAATGCTACAGACGTAGCTGATGGAGAAGCAAGCCATAATCTCAAGCCCAAGACATGGGGAAGCCAACAAGTCTTTCCACAGGTTTCAGCAAGCTTCAAGTAAAGGCCTCCAGGGTAAGGAAGGAAAAAACCCACAAACCCTTGGAGTCTGATCACAGCCTCAGGCAGTGAGGAGCCTTTGGGGGTGCCCTGTCCCCACACCAAGACAGAGCAAATACATCCCACAGTGACTGCTCCCACCCAAGTGGGATGCCTGCAGATGGTATTTCCAGGAGGCCTTGGAGACAGGCTGAGGATTTTGCTGCTGATTCAGGCTTCCTGCAGCACAGGCAGAGACCCTGCAGCTGGTCCTGAGCCCTGCAGCTGCACAGGGCTGGCACACACAGCCAGCACTGACAATCCTGGGGCTGCTGCTCGTGCCCAGCCCATGGCATCACTGCAGGCTTGCATCCTCTCAGCAGGAAAAGCTGAAAAATAGGCACGGCAGGACAAACCACAGGAGACACAGTTGTTGTACAGCACATGCCATAGACGTTGGAACATGGAGCAGGGGTGTAGATTTGGCACTTGAGTGCAAACACTGTGTCCCTGCTGTGCCACATCACTGGCTGCCTTAGCCTTAAATATTTTGGTTTTTCATCTAAGACCACATGTTCTGAAATATGTAATTGTCAGGCTTTTCTGGAAGCTCTTCAAATGCAGAATGCTTTGGTCCTTCCTCCCAGACAGCTTCCACCTGCAGGGAAAGCCTTGTCTCTAAAAGCCTCATTTTCAGCTGCCACTTGTTGGCAGCAAGCACCCAGGGCCATTTTTCTTGCTGCTCTTGACCCTGGCCAAGCTCTGTGCATGCTGCAGCAATGCATGTGGAGAATGTGTCCATTCTCCTTCCTTATTCTGCTTTGGGGTGAGTTGTCGTACAAAGGACTCGGGGCAAGCACAAATACAGTGCCACCCCCTCAGCCAGGTGTTGGTGTCTCCTGAAAAGCCCAGACCTGTGCATGCCAGCTCAGGTGTTTCATGTCTGGCTCACAGGAACGCTGTGGGAAGGGCAGGACCTGTGCAGCTTTGTGGCAGTATTTTAATCTGCTGTATTTCCACAGCAGCTCCTCTCTTTTGGCAGATAGCAGGGGTAAAAGTAAAGCTGCTTCTGAGGGAGACACTCCTTTTCAAGTGTCTCACTCCAACTGGCAAAGGCAGGGGAGACACAAGGAAGAGCAGCAGCTCTGGAAAGGGAATCGACAGGAGCAACCACAGGAAGACAGGGGAATCGGAGATTAAAACATCAGATTGAAAAGGAACAATAAGTCCCTGTAGGGGAATATAACTGGGGGGTAGAGCAGGAACAGAATGCAGCTCAGTAATGAGGCAGATGGCAATTTCTATGGAATCTGCAAATCCATTTGGGCTTTCTAACAAAGATGCCACACTATCCAGAAATCAGCTTGATACATGACCTGCCTCCCCCTCTGCTTTCAGTGGCAACAGCTGCTGAAAGGAGCAGCCCTGGCAGAGAAAACCTGGTCCAGCAGCACAGGCTGAGTCTGCTGTCACAGCAGAGCCCCTGCAGCATCCCTGCTCTGCTTGGGCCACAAAGACAAGGTGACAGCCGGGCTCAGTGCCACAGGCAGGGCCTCAGAGGGGCTCTCTAGAGCCATTAAGGGCTCAGGACATCTGGCAAAACACCGTGTTACTGCCAGGTCCATGGAGTACTCAGACTGTGGCTCCTCCATCAGCGGGACGCCTGGTTTGCATCTGCAAGGGCTGCAGGCAGGAATGTGGAGCATTCCAGGATATGACACCCTCGGAGCAGGGATGGCTCTACCAGCCATCAGCACTGGTGTTCTGGCAGTGCCCAGGAATTCTTGCTAAACACTCCCAGGGAAGGAGAGGGAAGAAAACCAGCAAGCTGCAGATGCTCTCATCCAGCCCCCACCCCTCAGTTCCCTGTATTTCATTGGGCAAATATTACTCAGGGTCAATAGCATCAGCCTCTTTCCTGGAAATGAAACAGCTACAGCCAACTCTCATGTTGCCAGGCTGGGGACCTGGGGGTGCAGCACAGGTCCCTGCTCTGCAGTCAGATCCTTTTGCTGTCTTTAGCACAGCATTGCTTCTGTGTCTCTCCTTTGCCGTGCTTTGGGTAACACATTTGTATGAAAGATGGGGCAAGAGCTCCCACCCACACGTTTGGTTTCCTCCTGGAAGCCTTGGCAGAAGTGGAATAAAGGAATAAATGGGTATCAAGTGGTGCACCAGCCCTTTGCAACACCCCTTCCCATCAGCTGGCATGGGCTCTCTTTGGCTAGCAGCCTGCTCACACCACAGCTCGGGCACAGCTCTCACCCAACAGCATTTGAGTGCTCCTTCTGCACTTATGCACTTCTGCTCCTTATGCACCAGAGCTGAGACTGTGCCACACACAACAATTGTAGATGGGCTGGTGTTGCCACCGTGCTTGCAAATGCACAAATGTCCTTACCTCCTCCTCGGCTGCACATCCTTTGTGTGTCATCACCAGTTTTCCATGGACCATCAGATTTAGCTCTTCCATTTTCCTCTCATGGAGGAGTTTTCACCATGCTTTGGGCTCAAGCTCTCTGACTCTTCACAGCTCACCTCTGGCCCTTTATTCCAGGCTGTTTGCTTACAGAGGGTGCTGTGTTTCTGGCTGGAGCTGGTATTGAACACAGTGTTAAGGAAAACCCATCTGTAGGCCTGCAAGATCAGGGCATTTTCTGAAAAGTACCAACAAATAGGCAAGTATTGTTTAAAATGCATCTCAGACCTTCAGTCACTAAGGTGCTCTGCTTTATCAGTCTTGTTTGCAAAGGACTGAGAACCAGCCCCTATGCTTTGTGCTTGTCTGTGTTCCTGCCTTGTATGAAAAGATGCTTCAAAACACTTCTCTGTCCCAATTAAAAAAAAAAAAAACAACAAAAACAACCAAACTAAAAAATTGTGCTCCAGTCATAGAAACACCATGAGCTGATTTTTTCCAGGAAGGTTCCTTACCTCTAACAGTTCTGATAGAAAGTCAATGTTTAACAGAACAGAGGTACACTTCTGTTTCTGGAGATAAACCTGAAGGCCAGACTGGACATGCCATCACATCCCCAACATGACAAACTTACCACAAGGCCCCAGGGACAGCCATGGCTGGATCTCAGAAAGCTGCCTGGCTTCATCTGCAGATGAGAGACAATAACTGTAATAATTCCAGGGTCTACATAAACATTCTTCCAAAAGACACTGCAAATCTCAAGCAACAAGGGCATCATCAACTTTCTCCAAGTCCTTTCAGTTAGGAAAACAAGTAGCAGAGTTTTTTTTCACAGTTTAAAGTAGCAATAAAGTTCAGCCCAGCTGAACAACACATGGCTTTCTAGAACTGTCGAGGCAAGGCATATGTAGGTTTCACTGAGAACCATTTTTCCCCCTTTCTTCTTTTGAATTCCCTCCAATATTTTCGTTTTAGTGACAGATAGATTGCAAGACGGATCTCAGTGAAGAGCTACTTGAAGTTTCTCTTTCTTTCCTGTGAAACTCAACACTCATTTTAACCAACAACCACAGAAAAGGTTGCACTGGATTCTCCCTTGTGCTTCCTCAAGGAGTGAATGCCTAAAAATTGATGATGAGTCTAAAATCCTTCTCAGTGTTTCACTGCATGCACAAACAGCTATGGAGCAAAGTAGGCATGGGGAACTCTGGCAGGAAACCTGGAGCAGGGAAGATTAAAGAAGCAAGTAAAAAAATAAAAGGTTGCAACACATTAGACAAGGAAACCCAGCAGGAAGATGCATTTGCTCTGCCTTCACATGGGTATCTTCAACCACTGACAGCAACAGCCAGGACTACAATGTGGGTTTTGTGACAGACAGAACTACTGAAAACTCCAAGTCTACCAGGATAGCACAAACCCCCGACAGATCCAAGCCATAGAAACTGTCACAAGTTGGTATTTTCACTTCCCTCCTCTCTCCCCCAGCCTTCTCCCCAAGAAAGCTATTGAATAAAAAAAAAATTGGTTTTATTTTAAGGCAGTGGCCATTCCTAGCCCAAGTTACTTTGAAATAAAAATAGAATTGTTTACCTTTTTTTTTTTTTCTCACTGAAGGAAAGCAGTATTAAAACCTAATCTCCTTTCACACACAATATTGGTGCAAGGAATTTGCATTTTCCCTGCAGAAGAACGCTGTGGGAATGACATCCCATGCACATCTCCTGAGTTCATGTGAACTGGAGGTAAACTTGAGGACCAGCTGAGAGATGCAATAAAAAGATTGGTTTTATTCTATTGTAGGAATATCCCTTTGACTGTGACCCTGCCGTTTCAGTCATGGTTTCTCTGGGGTATATCGTGCCTAACATCTCCCACTGTACATCCCTGAGAGCAGAGGAAGTGCTGCTAACTGGGGGGAGGGCAGCCCTTTGTTTTTACCGGATATTTTCAGGGTAGCACAGAAAAAGAAAAATCACATCTGGGACCACCTCAAGGGGCTGCTGGCAAAAATCCAGAGGCTCCACAGAAGAAGCAGCAGATTGTGGATTTTGATGCCTTGGGCAGGATGTTTCATCTGTTTCCATAATGGCTGGGGAAGGAAGCAATATAAAGGGAGATGCTCTGATAAGAGCATGGCTATGATAAAAAGACTCTGTTCAGTACTAATTTCTTTCAGCAAGAAGAAAAGTACCCACAGTCACTGGGTTACAGACATTAGTCTCTTGCCTCAGTGAAAAGGGAGCTGGTTAGTCCTGAGGCAATGTTGAATACTAGATTTTAAAACAAGTACAAAAATAAAGAGCAGAACAGATGTGACAGGCAGTTCTCATTCATCCTGCAGTTATGCAGAAAGTTGTTAAAATAATTTCTTCATCAATTTCAATGCTGGTGGCTCTGTCCTGCTTTGTCACGGACAGAGGAAAATTAGCAGCTGCAAGGTGCAGCTCTGTGCTTTGTGAAATCAAGCAGCATTTCCACAATAAAAAATACCAGGCTTTAACTTACAAATTTGTTCTGCTGCCTCTGGATAACTGGGAACATTCACATTAGTGAACAGACTGGCATTACTGACTCGCCTATAAAGAGCTTTACTAAAACTTTAAAAAGCACTGTACAATGGGAACACTCCCCTCTTCTGGCTGCCAGCTGGTGTTTATGCCACCTCGCCTTATTTTTTCACCAAGGAGAAAAAGACAGATTTTGGATGTGAAGTTTGAGGCCAGGATGCTCTGTATAAACGAAGCTATTCACAATATGATGGATAATCACATTCTCTTACTTCCCAGTACCTGCCCATGGCACACTGTCCCACCTGCCCTCGGGTCTGCCTCGTTTTGCCTTTTCCAGGAGTAATTTTATTTTGTGCATTCCTATGTCAAATGCCAGCGCTGACGGCATGGAGGGGATGGCTGCCCCTGCACTGCTCGAAGTTCCCCTCTGGAGAATTTCTGGCAGGGTCGGGGCAGGATGCTCGCCCTGCAGGCTGTGCCATGAGCTCCTCCTGGTGGTCAGGAAAACTGGATCGACTTCCCTGCGCTAAGAGCTCAAGGATAAAAACACAGCTTTCGAATAAAAACACAGCTTTCTGCTGTTCTTCTCTCCTATGCTCAAGAAACGCATAAAGTGGAAACGTGAAATGAGGCACATATTCCGGGAGTGATGTAAAGCTTTCATTCCTCACTGCCTGCACATGTGGCTAAAGGGAATGAACACATCCTTACCCCTCTTATTTGGGGCATTTTTCATAAAAACCACAAGTTTCACATTTTGTTCCGAGCAGAATTAATTTTATTTGCTGTGCTTTCCAGTCTTTTATGAGCCACAGCCAAGGCCATACATCCTTCCTAAATATTTATGTCTGTTGAAGCATTCTCCATGCTGAGCCTGCAGGACAGCAAGAAGGAAAGAGGAAGGAGTTATCCCTACCATCTTCTGAGATTGGAATGGAATGGATAGAATGGGAAGTTCTATCCTACTCAAATAGCACGAATAAAAATATTACAGACAGTTCAATTATAACTAAACCCGGCCCAAAGTGTTAACTAAATCTCTTTGTTAGCCACAAGCATCCAGAATCCAAGAGCTGCCAGCCCAGAAAGGATCACAAACGACAAGCAGGAACACCCAAGTGAAACAAGAAGGAGGAAAGAAAGCAGTGTAAGAGTTCTTGCAGAGACTGTCACTAGCAATGGTCTCCACTCCCTTTCTGGCTGGCCATTAGAATATGGCATTATGGCACTGCAGAACACCTTCTGGTTTCTTTATAAATATACTTAAGTATATGAATACACTTAAAAGTCAGTTTATATTAATTTGCTATACACACTCTACCAGACAAGGAGTAGAAACATAACTGTGGCACCACATCTGCCTTTGCTCAGAGCCTTGCCATCAAAAACCAACTTGACCTACTGGGAAATTTCAGAAGGAGGCATTAGGCAGTTTCTTCAGGGTGTGCTAATAGAAACTGTTGTTAATCCTGCCCATTTTCTGTACACACCCAAGATGCCTCACATCAGAGCTATTAAACCCAGCATCTTGCCCTGGAAAGGCTCCTTTTAGAAATGTTCTGTCCAGGACATCCTTCTGATGACTTGGCACAGAATTGTTCAACAGCTGACCTAAGTAACATCAGAGGATTCATTTTCCTCCAAAATCTTAAGCATCTCTTCCTTTTTTTTCGTTTGCTGCTTCTGCATGATCACTGTCCCTTATTCCACATATGAGGAGCAAACCCTGGACTTACAAAACCTAGATTTTGCTCAGGTTCTGTCACACACACAGAGAGAGAGAAGTGGATTCCATCATGGATCAGAGGCACAGCCTGGCCCCTGTGTCCAACTGCATTCCTGTGTACACAGTATTTACCTCAGAAGTCAATCCCCACCTGTGGGGAAATCATGGATTAAATGTGCTGCATACACAGCACAAATATGCATCTTTTCTTCTGCACACCTCTAAGATACCCTGCAAAATAAAACTTATGCAGGTTCTATGTTTGAAAGTGATCTAAAAGTCCCTTGCCGTAACATCTCCAAGAGAGAAAAACCTCTTTTTCTATATTTTACTGTTACACTTTTTAAATTTCCCAGGTATTGATGATGATTTGATGGTGTTGATTTCAAAGTTCTTGGAGCTGTGGAGTTTTACTAGCTGTTCACAGGTATGCCAACCTTTGGGCTCACACCGTGTCATTAATTAGCACCTTAAAATATCAATAGCATTTAAGGAGACAGGAAATCAGCCAGCAAGAGCTGCACTCAGAAACATCCCCAGAGATTTGGAGAACTTGAAAAATGTAGAAGGAAAGGCCAGAGATGTTTTAGTTCACATATGAGAATCACATCAGTGAAAAGGACTCAATTCTTTACTGCAGGAACACTGCAAAGCATAGCCAAAAAAACTAAGTGCAGAAGAAGTAAAAATCAATATAGATCACTAAAATGCTCATTGAGATTCTGTAGCTTTCAGCTACAAAAACTAAAAATATATAGAAATAATCCATTTAAGACTTATCAGATTTTTGATTTTTAACTTGTATCAAACTTAGTTTGATGAGAAATTAAATAGGAAAAAAAAATTAGAGTTTGTAAATATCTTCCAGTTCAGATCCTTTGCAAAACCAGCCAGAATCTGGATCCATTATAACCCAATATTCTGGGCAGCAGATAATTTCAAGCAGAGGGATACAGAGTTTTAAAATAAGTCTCCAAGAGATGCTTAGTTTAGATGTTTTTATACAAAAGCAGAATGTGTCTGTTCAACCTCCTTGGATCCTGTTACTGCAGTGACAGAAATGCTGATGATCCAGTGCCACTAACAGGGCTTTCCAGGCAAAGCTGCTACATTATTATGTGACTGCAACACGGGACAAACCTACATTCCACTCAGTTTCAAAGTGAAAAATGACGAATGAATGAAACAAACCAAAATGGCAATGGTTTAGAAAGAACTTTTTCAAAATTGCACAGTGGAGAGGTTCAATTCATATTATGCCAGTAGCTAAGTAAAAAACTGGTTTGGAGAAATAAGACTTCAATAACACTTGAAAATGCTCAAAACCCAAGCTGACCTCAAGGCTGCATTTATAAGCAAGCTCACACATTCCAGGTACCGAGTTGGATAACTCCAGGTTGGTTTTTGTCATGTTTATCACAGCAATGTGCTTGATCTGACATCCATGCAAAGGACAAGAGGAGGCCACTGAAGGGACACCAAAAACCTTTCCCTGTCTGGGCACAGTCCTCAGTGGCAGTGGCAAGTTCTGTGTTTGAAAGTGATCTAAAAGTCCCTTGCCATAACATCTCCAAGAGAGAAAAACCTCTTTTTCTGTATTTTACTGTTA